AAAAAAAAAAGTATGCACAGAATTACCTTGGAAGCCTCGGAGTTCTGTACTAGGTAAAACAAGACAAACAATTCTTACTAAATTTGTTTGACACATGGGAACTGTAGATGAAGAGGGCCCTGCCCATTAAAAAGAAAACGTACAATCCTCTGCTCTTTAGCAGCGATAGACTGATTTGTTCTGCCGATTTGTTAGAGCATATATTCGGCATATTTCCATATCGATGTTGTAACTTACCGATATTACGAATAACTTACTCAACTCTTCCAAGCACTGTACGCTATCTCCTGCATCCCATCTAGAGAGGAGCTACATTGCCACCTCACGTCACCCCCTGCCTGAGAGTCCCCAGCTGAAGGCAGGGAGGTTAGACAGTGAATAATCTACTGTAATGCAGTGGGCTTGTTGATTGAGAGTGATAGGAGTGTAATTGATGACAGCAATCACACTCTTGTCACTCTCAACGAGTAACAGCACTGTACATGCTGGGATGTCACTGATCCCAGCATGTACTGGCTGCCTGAGAGTGAAAGTATTGTGAATGCTGTCAGCATGTTCAGTTAATGTCAGATTTGTGTAGAAATTGTGTTTTTTCAAAACTTTATTGTACATAATATCAGCACCAGTTATCAAAAATCAGTACGAAAGGTGACCAGTAATCTACATCACCTCTACTATCTAGTCTGTCAGGATAGTACAGCTATCTGCTGTGCCATTTAAATATATTATTATTCTAACATGTTTACACCAACAATGTGTGTACACATTTTTGATGTAGAAAGTGATGCGCCTTTATTCTGAATGCAGAATAAGAATAAATACGTAAAAACACTTACTAATTCTTATTAAATAATTATTTGAAATCCTTTAATCAGAATTTGCACAAATTTAAAATCTCCCCTGTTGTGACCACTATACCTGTGGTGATTTCACCACTTTTCACAGTACTTTGATAAATTTTGCCCTTGCCCAAATTGTTGTATACGCTTGTATAATGATTTGGGGTTGTTTAAAGGGGACAATCTCTTAAGCGTCATAACCGTTGCAGTTTATTGTAGTGGTTATGGTACAGTCAAATCGTTTTTATGCAGTTTAAGAAAATGGACTCTCCAAGCACCCAGTCTATCTGCAGCAGGTAAACTAATGAATAAACCTCCATCTAGCTTGGAACAGCAATAATATGCTTTGCATGGCATAGGCCAATGCTACGAGCCTTTCATTGCTCAGACATGGACAGATTTGTATGAATAATGATGATGATGTAAAAATTCAGAATCCTCTACGCAGCAGCAAAGGGGCCAGGCGTCTTACGTCAGGAGAACTCTGCTGTGTAAAGTGGCCAGTCTTCTGGTACCTGGGGAGCTCTGCTGTGTAAAGGGGCCAGGCTCATGTATAACAGCCTCATGTATAAGGTAAAGTGGAAAAATTCCATATACTCTAATCGTTGGGGCTTTATAATGCTTCTTAAAATCAGCCTTTTGTTTCAAAAGGTATTAGACCCCCATTCTGGTCAATCTTAAATAATGCCAAACATCCTGCTTTGTTTTCTGCTCTGGAACAAGCCAAACGAGTTTCATTCCCATGCAGTGAATAATTATTAGTTACTGTGTAGCTCCGATTACAAAATTCCAGTCTACTGTCCGGGCCTAGCCGAGATATGTGTTTATTATTTCCCAGCCAACAGAGGCCTCTGCCAGTACACACTGATGTATGGCCCTGTATATGGAAAATTCTCTCTGCTTCCATTCCGACCTTGGGCAGCCAGTTCATTGATAAACTGACGTGGACAAGGCGTTTGGTGTAAAGCATAAGTGAACTGCTTGTGCAATATACAGCCATGTTAATCAAGATCCCGAGACTTAGTAGTTTCCCTTTTTCTCATCTCCACCCCCCCCTCCCCCCAAATCTATATATCATTCTATAAAACCTGCTGTCATACTACACAAGGAACAATTGTTTGGGATACACTATACAAAGCAGCTATTAGATTCCAAGAAAGTTATCCTTGATTTTATAAAACATGATGTGCTTTGGTGGTAAGAAAAATCAAAGCCATAATCTTGTCATTTGAAGTTTGTATTTTTCAAAACACGTTGGCTCCCTGCATACAAAATTTTATATATTTATTGTTGGTAGTCTTGCCACATCCATAAGTGAAATATGTATGGAAGGCCACTGGTAATGTTAAAAGTTAGTGCGTACTTTTTCATAATTGGGGAGCTCCTGACTGGCGTAGTGCGTCGGCAGACCGCGCTAGCCAATCAACGGGGGCCCTGTATGATAAGTGTACACATTTATGTAAAGACTGTAGTAGGGAATGACAAATTTACTTGGAATCTAAAAGCCAGCTAAAAAAGTTACGAGCCAGTATTTTTTTCTTACCTAACAAAGCTTCATTTTCAGCAGCACAAACACAATTCTTAAAGGGAAACTAAAGTCACCAGAACCACTGCAGCTTAATGAAGTGGCTCTAGTGTCTAAAGCCTGTCCCTTCATGCTTTTTAACGTATACGTTGCTTTTTCAGAGAAAAGACAGTGTTTACATTGCTTTTCAAAACACAATATGGAACGGCACTTTATCCCATCACTCTGAGCCAGGATGCAACCAAATCAGGACCAAGCACCAGGTCCCAATAACAGTATGCATAAAATACAAGAAGGATTAGGCACTCCAAGGTTCAGAAATGGCAATTTATTGAAGCCCAATGTAACAGCGTTTCGACCTACACGGTCTTTGTCAAGCACAAATCTTTTTAATGCATGCGCAGTAAGCCTCCCAGTGCTTTCCTATAGGAAAGCATCGGATTGGCTGAGATAATCAAGATTGATAATCTCAACCATGGAAGCTGGTCCTGACACGGTATGGGGAAAAAGGTGAGTAAAATCAACTTTCCCATGCAATCAGATTAGGGACTGGTCATCTAAACACACATTCACAGACAGACAAAGACATACTCACTGACCAACACTTTGACTAGGGATCAACCGATATAGTTTTTTAGAGCAGATACCAATAATCTGTGAACTTTCAGGCCGATAACTTACTGAGACCGATATTCTGTACACTTACCGTTTTGGAAAAAGAAACAATTTCTATACAAATCTACTGTTAAGTGAACATGTTTTTTAAATTTATTTTATTTTTGCAAATCTCTCTTTTTTTTTGTTTTGTTTTTTTAAGTGGTAAATGCACAAAATATACATGCCAGATTTACTGTCCCTTAGTATACCCCTCCCCTACCGTCCCTGTTCCTTAGTGGTTCTCTCCATTCCCCCTTAGTGATTCTCTCCCTTCCTGTCCTTTATACTCGCCCCCGCCCTCCCCACACACACCTCTTTAGTTGTCTTCTCCCTTCCCTGGTGTCCCTCATTACCTCTCTTGTCGTGTGGCAGAGCACAGTCAACTATGGTACAGGAGCTTCAGTTTCCTGTACCTGGCCGGACTGACAGGAAGTGCTCTCTTAGTAAGCACTTGTGTCAGTCCGTACAGGAAACTGAAGCTCCTGTGCCGCGGTCCGCTCAGCTAAGCTCCACTGAGTGGTAGGGGGAGCGCTTCCTTCCTGCTGGTCTGATGATTCTTGTGTGCCCCGTGATGGCCGACTGCCCCCTTATGCACGTGCCCAGCCTTGCGTGTGTTGGTCCACCGCCTCCTCTCACATTATCGGCAATATTGGTATCAATAGAGACTGATACCGATATTTGCCAAAATCTGTAATATTGACCAAACAGATAATCGTCGATTCCTAACTCTGACACACACACACACACTCACTGACACAGCTCACTTACTTTCAGACAGACATTCATAAGTTGTTATTTAAAAAAATATTATTTTAATTGAAATCCACTTAACCTCCTTACCTTTAGAGAACTGGAGTACAATATGTCAGAGTAGTACTTAGTGACCCATTAAAGGGTAACTCCAACCATCATGACCAATTAATGATTTTGAGTGGTCATGGTGCCTGAAGTCTATACTGTATATGCAGCTATGCACTATGAAACTTTGCAAATACTGAGTTAAACACCTCTGCCGTCAAAGGTATACCTCCACCTCTTGCGGCATCGTTACCTAGTCCAGAACAAGAGTTGGCTCCAGCGGGCTTGTTGTTAGAACCCAGTTACGTTTTTTTTTTTATTCTTTATTTTTGTTAGTGCATGAAACAACAGTTTGGCTTGCTACGCCACAACAGCTGTAGGAAACCGTTGGATAACAGTATACAACATGGCATGAAGATAACTGTGCACATTTTAAAAAAAGGAAAATAAGAATAAGTAAGATTATCAGGCATTTTACGTGTTAAATAATGTCAAAACGTAAAATAAGATACATGCTTGTTAGATATAGCTTTGACATGGTATATGAAGTAATTGCACAATTTTAAAACTAAAATCAATAAACAGAATGGACAATATATCAGTGTGGAGTCCTGTAGCTAACTTCCTGTATTATAGGACATATTTAATGACAGGCTATACATATTTAACTGAGCATAGGCTGTGGACCAAGGAGTTTTCAGGCAGGCTATCGAATTTTGGGGTATTGCCAGGTGTGGGTGAGTAGAAAGTATGGCTGTACTAGTGGGTAGATCATCAATATAAATTGCTAAGTAGAGTGTGCAGCCTAAGTGTAAGCCATACAGTGATTTATGCGTCATAGTATTTTAATAGCAAACTACAGTGATTGTGGTTTCTGGGCATAGTCTCCAGATTTGGGCTGCAGTGTTAATAGGGGTAACTAAGGAGTGAAGAAAAGTAAAGTAAGGAATAAATTAATGGGACAGGAGCAGGAATGTGCGTTGGTGCATGCAATGGGAAAACAGCCCAGTAGGGTACAATGCCCGTAGGAGATTCAGAGTTCCTGCTTATGATTAAATAGAGTAAGGTAAATGCTTTGCTGTAGAGTACCCCAAAAAATGTAAAACTCGAAAAGGGGGCCGCAAGCATTGATTTCCCCCACAAATGTAATGGCTGAGGGGTGGGGTGGGTGGCCACACCGTTCAGCCGACACCGACAGTGGGCATGACACCGTCCTGCAACCTGGAGAGATAACGCAGGCAGTCGGGCCTCGAGGTGAGTCGGGGGGCCAAGCCATACTCCGCAATCAGGGTGTCAATTAATATCTCCGGCCAGTCTGGGTTCCCGATGCTGGATCGTAGCTGTGCCTTAGTGTGCGCTGGTTGTGTTGGCAGTGAGGATCGCTTTCTGCTCTGGGAGTGTTGCTTGCTTCTGCCCCTTCGGACGTGCACCCGGGCCTTCTGTGTGTCACGTTTGTAAGTGCTGTGGGCGGTCCGGGCTGGAACACTCAGGGTTTTTGCCGACAGCCGGTGCCTCCGTGGGGTGTTTGCTATCCGAGGCTGAGATAGATGTGTGGGCGCACCCAGCTGCGTGATCAGAGTTCCAGGTAAGTGTTGGCTGGTAGGAGGATGGCGTTTTCTCGTTTGGGGAGACTTGGGTACAGTCTCTGCGTTCGTCGGGAACATGAGATCCTCCAGCTTGTCCCAGAAAGTTTGGAAGGCCTCGTCCAGCTGGTGCTAGTGCTCGACCTCTGGCTGCTCGCTGTGGGTGCTGGAGGAGCACACTGCCTCCGCCATTTTGGGTGCAGTGCCGTCGTTTGTTGCAGGGCCCTGTGTTGCCTCAGCTTTCTTGCCTGGTTGTGTCAGGGTCTCCCGCGGGTGGACCGGGATAACCCACACCGGTCCATAGGGAGGGGAACAAGTGTCTGGTCTCCGCTTGTCAGCGGGGGAGCGGCTGTCTCCCTCACGCCGACCACGCTTGTAGGCCTCATGGGAAGAGCAGGGGCATTATGCCGGAGTCGTCGCTTGTGAGGCATCATTGTGTTTCCCTGATTGTCACCTTCCGCTTGGTGGCCGGTTTGGTCCCATTTTGACAGCCGAAATCCACTTGATTAATGCGGCAGTGCGGGAGCTATAGAAGTTTGCGTCCTCTACTCTCAGTGGTCAGGCCTCGTCCCCACATTTTTGTTTTTTTTAACTTAATTTTTATATATTTTTTTAAACTTTGACTGGATTGGGAGAGGGGATGGCGGCAGGAAAGGAAGGTTAACTAACAAAAGCAAGTGTTTTCATAAAACACAGTTTTTTTTGGTTGGAGTAACCCTTTAATTCCTAACCCCCTGACAGTCTGTCCCATTCAGTTATGCATGTAATCCTGTTGCATGCAAACACAGATTCCAAAACTAAGAAGTATAGCAGACTTTAAGATGCAGAAATAGTAGTTTATTGCTCTCTCACAAGCTTGTTAAAAATTCTCAAAGTTAAACACGGCTAGCCATTAACATAAATAAACCACTGGTTCTTTGCCATCGTACTGTGAATGAACAGTGTGTGCTGTTTATTCAATACTATATTTTCTTTTTTAGTACATTCTCTTTAAGTGCTTCAGATATAAATGCTGGACGGTGCATCCCCCTTCTCAAGAGAAACTGTAACTTATGAGATAAGAGTATTTTTGAATCCAGCACATAATCGTAGCAATTACAGACCTACACTTAACATCACAAATAACTTCTGTATAGCCCAGATAGAGTGCTTTATACTCGGGGTTATTCACTAAACTGTAACATATTGGGAATTCACAAGATAATTCCAAATCTGAGACCAAAATAACGAAGCTGGAAACATAACTGAATTGGAGAATCAGATTTAATTTGGGGGGTTGGAGGGGGCTTTACCCATGAATTTCCCCAAATGTAATATTTTGTAAATAATTCTCACAGTATAGTACACCCCCCCCCCCCTTTTTGTCTTTTTGTACAGAGTTCATGAGCTAGTCCTTGTTTACATTGAAGTGAATTAAAGTAACATTCATAGCCAGTAGTGCACGCTGTAGTGGTTCGAGTGCCCTGATGCTGTGGAGTAACTAGTTGAACCATTAAATAACGATTTGATAACTTACCTGGGTCCTGCTGAGAACACTAAGCTGATACTCACTGCCAATGAGCTAGCCCCTCAGACAGCAGGAAAGGCAGCAGGTGGCCAGCTGGACCCAGAGAAGTTATCATACCATTCTTAAATTATTCGACTACAAACTAGGGATCAACTAATATTATTTTTTCAGAGCCCATACTGATACTGCTTATGGGTTGCCTTTCAGGCTTTTTGCTGATAGCCAGCAAAATAATCTGTAAATTTAAAGTTTTAAAGCAACACAATTTCTACACAAATCCGCTATTAACTGAACTTGCTGACAGCAATCACACTCCTTTTATTGTCAGCCGGCCCAGTTGCTCTAGATTATTCACTTTCTTACCTCCCTGCCTTAAGATGAGCTCCACTGTGCAGCACTGACCCGTCTGAGTGACTGTCACGAACGCTGTTACTAGGCAGCAATGTAAACTCTGAAAAGTCAGTGTTTAAGTTGAAAACCCTGCAGGGACAGGCTATGTACTTCAGAACAACTACATTAAGCTGTAGTGGTTCTGGTGACTATAATTTCCCTTTAAGAATTTTATTTTTGACGTTGAAACCCTAGCTCCTAACTTTTTTAGCTGGCTCCTAGATTCCAAGCAAATTTGTCAAGCCCTGATGTAAAATATGCATTAAAATTCAATTTTTGCTACTAAAACGTGTGTTAATTGTCATGCCGTCTGCAATATTAGTAGTATCAAGTTGTATATCATGCACTGAATGTTTATGGTCAGCCCAGGAAATTTTCATCAGTATTGAAGTCTGAGACTACAATGGCCATTCCAAAACCTGAGCCTTTCATTTTTTGATGTAATATGTGCTTGATTTTGATGTGTGTTTCGGATCATTGTCTTTGAGGAGCCACAGTTACTTAACGGACTATAGGACGTTAGCACCCATGATATGTTATTTGGTAGAATCAATTCTACCCTCTACTTCTGTACTGATCAGTCGCAACATTAAAACAAACTGTCTAATATTGTGAAGTTGCCCTTTTGTGCTGCCAGAACAGGCATGGATTTCACAAGACCTCTGAATGTTAGCAGATAAGTCCTGTGAGGTGGGATCGGATTTGTTGTTTTAGCACATCCCACAGATATTTAGATTGACATCTGGCGAATTTAGAGGCCATGGCAGTAACTTGGACTATTTGTCATGTTCCTCACACCATTTCTGAACAATTTTTGCATTGTGGCAGGGTGCATTATCCTGAGACCACTGCCATCAGCGAATGCCACTGCTATGAAGGAGTGTATGTGGTTAATATCCACATGAATGCCAGGACCCAAGGTTTCTCAGCAGAACATTACCCAGAGCATAACACTGCTTTCGCTTGTCTGCCTTCTTCCCATAGTGCATCCTGATGCCATCTCTTCCCGAGGTAAACAGTGCACGTACACTGTGCTATCGACCTGATCTAAAAGAAAATGTGATGTGTCAGAGCAGGCATCCTTCCTTCATTACACCATGGTCCAATGTGACACTCCCTTCCCATTGAAGGCTATTTTGTCTATGGACAGAGGTCATCATGGACAATCTAAACGGTCTGCTGCTACACAGGCCCATTCACAACAAACGGAGATGCACTATGTGCTCTGCAACCTTTTTATCAGAATTACGTGGTTCAGCAAATAAAGCTACAATAGGTCTTCTGTGTGAATGGACCAGACGGGCACGTCTTCAATGAGCCTTGGACATGACCCTGATACCCCTTGTCCTTCTTTGCCCCACTGCTTACTGGCAACACCACACAAGACTTGCCATTTGAAAATGTTCTGACCAAGTTGTCTAGCCATCACTGTTTGTACCTTGCCATAGTCACTCAGATCTTTTTGCTTGACATCTTTTCCTACTTCCAACACGTGAAATTCAAGAACGAACTGTTAACTTACTGCCTAATATATTCCACCCCTTGACAGGTGCCATTGTAATGATATATTCGCCTAATCTGTCTGGGGTTTTAATTTTAATGTTGTGGTTGATAGTGTACTTCCTGTGCCACCAAAGCATAAACGATCCATTGTGTAAGCACAACACAATGAGACGTATTTAAAGGACTGATGTTTCTGCAGGGGCATGATCTGTACACAAAAACTGTGTCTTTAAACTAAAGTTGTTCTGGTGACTAGTGTCCCTTTAAATAAAGCAAATAGTAGAAAAAAATTGTAGAAATATATTGTTTTGTGTCAACCTAGGTTCTGTCAAAGGAACACTAGCGCTGCTCCAGTCTGTGGGCGCTGGCTCTGCCCCCGATCCACTTCTTTGGCTGAGATCAAAATTGACAATCTCTGCAAATTCAATGCTTTCCCATAGGAAAGCATTGAGAGACTAATGCGCACGCACAGCAAAACACAGCACTTCAAGGAACAAGGAACTTGTTTAATGCATCTCTATGGGGAATGTTCAGAGACTGCATGCAGGTGGTAGCTACACTGAATGTGCAACCCTGACCCTGGAAGCACCTCTTTGCTACATGAAGCTATGGTTATGCTGGTGACTATAGTTTCCCTTTAACTTTCCTTTAGAAAAGGAAAAAGTTTTATTCCGAAGTCTACCGACTTTTGCATTCAACCATGCATTGCTAGTGAAATCACAAGCAAATGTTTACAATTGAAACTTGTTTAAAAGATTGCTTGCAGCTCCTCCTCCAAGATGGCAGTCAAAGTGTATATGCTGCACATGATACCCTGGAACCAAAGTAAAACTGTTTCATAACTTTTGCACATATTAGATATTCTCTACACCTCTTCTTCAATATAAACAACTTCAATAGAATGCTTACCATCTGTTGAACTGCAGGTGGCAGCAAAACACCTTGTAGTTAATGCTAATGTCATATGTGAACTATTTATAGCTGTCCAGAAGGATATTCTCTAATCCTAGCTTTTTATTAAACCCCCATTCCAGGCGCAATGCATTAATTTGAAATGTAGTAAATCTATGGCGCTGCTGTCATTAAAAAATAATAAAAAATAATAATAAATGTAACACTTTTTTTGCATTCATGTCAAAATTCTCCTCTCCTCCCCATGTAAAAAAAAAAAGTCCAGAACCTCTTATAATCTTTGAATCGTTAATAGAATACATGCTTCTCTTCATTTCTGTTAATTCATAAATTATTCACGTTTTTAAGATGTTTGTGACACCACATTGACACGTAAAGGGACACTATAGTCACCAGAACAACTACAGCTTAATGTATTTGTTCTGGTGAGTAGAATCATTCCCTTCATGCTTTTTGCTATAAACACTGTCTTTTCAGAGAAAATGCAGTGTTTACATTACAGCCTAGTGATAACTTCACTGGCCACTCCTCACATGGCTACTAGAGTGCGTGCTGCACAGTGTGCAGCACTGACATTCAGTGCCTTCACCATCTGTATACAGACACTGAACTTTCCTTATAGAGATGCATTGATCCCATTGTACAGCGCTATGGGATTTGCTGGCGTTATATAAATAATAATCTCTATGACGAGCTGCTGATTGTCCAGGGCTGTGTTTGACTTGTGCTGGCTCTGCCCCTGATCTGCCTCCATGACAGTCCTAGTGAA